CTCCCTGGAATTCTTCCAGTGTCTGAAACCCACAGTTTCTTGTCTTCAGCTCTTCACAACCTTCGTCATTTGCACCATCTCTGCTCCCAGTCCTGATGGTCCTCTGGAGCTCTTCAGCTGTTCTCTCATAGCTGGTATGACTGTCATTGTCACCGCTGCCTCCATTGTCTGTCTCTGTGTATTACCACCTTGGCTCACTTACTAACGATAAAGATAAAACATAGTCATGAAAAGCCTCTTGAGAAAAGCCATTTATCAGGCTTAATATCGCAGCACCAGGGAACAGCCCAGGAGGGTGTCTCTGGTGTGACCCAAGAAGTGAGCGGAATTGAATGCTTTATACTCAGGAAGGACAGGGTGTGTCTGTCCCAATCACAACACAGACCTTCCTGTAAAACAACAACAAAAACCACGATGATCCGAACTGCAGCACAGTCTTCCTGTGAGTTCAGACTGTTTGCACTGATCACAGGAAGTGCTCCTTCTCCAGCCTGGATAAAAATAGGCACCAGAGTTCACTGAGGCTTGTGATGGAAAAAAGTCCTGTAAGAGTTGTCTGAAAAGCTGTGGTTTGAACAGTGCTCTCTGGAACAGGACCCAGGCAGCTATGGTGGCAGGAAAACTTCCTCAAGGCATCTGTGGAGAGTTCCAAGCCATGGGGCTGCTATGAGGGAAGCGTCTACTTGCCTGTGAGAGGCTGCCTGCATGAAAGTCTTCTGCTCAAGGTACAAGGGAAGGGCCTCACTACTGCCAGTCAGGGAGTCAGATGGCTCTGATCTCCCAGGACTTAATTTATTTAAAGGTAAGATGAACATCAACAAGGCTGCTTCTATATTAACAGTGCTTTTACTATATTTAGTAGTGTTCCGCTCTTAACCAAACGCAGCTGTGCCTCAGATGCACCTGTGTTAAAGGCTTGGTACCGTCCGTGGTACTGAATGATGAAGATGGAATCTTTAGGGAGTGGGGTGTTGTGGGAGGTCTTTGCTCTTGAGGGGACAGTGGAGCCTCAGCTCTTTTGTACCCTTGTGCATCCTGATTATGAGATTCTGTCTCTGTTCCATTTATTCTCGCCGTGATGTGTCACTTTGGTCCAGAGCATCATAGCTAACCAATCACCAGGTTGTGACAAAGAAAACTGAACCCTCATAAATATTTTCTTTTCATAAGTTGATGATCTTGGACATTGCTTTGATGACACTTCTTATTTTTTCCCATAGTTTGTGATCTAAAAAAAACCAACCAAACAAACAAAAAAACCTAAGCAATCGTTTGTTTTACTTCTATTTATCATAAATGAAGAAGTTTTTTTTTTGTGGTTTTTTTCCTTAATGTATTCACACCCATTAATTAAAGAATATCCATATCTATGGGTTGTGTCCAAGTGGCCAGAGTCAGAGGCTGTACTGCAAACAAAATCACATCAAAGTGGCCTGTTAAAGGGCTGGAATCATGCTCAGCAGCTAAGAGCACCTGTTGCTCTTGCAGAGGACCGTGGTTCAGTTCCTGACACTCATACTGTGGCTCATAACCATCTGTGACTCCAGTTCCAGGGGGTCTGATGACCTCTTCTGATCTCCAAAGGCACCAGGATCATGCATGATACACATACATGCATACATGCAAGCAAAACACATGCATAAAATAAATAAATAAATATAAAAAAATTGAATGCATTTTTGCTTTCAGTATCTTAATGCTGACTTGTCCTCTGGCTTTACACATAGAAGCAAAAATCAGGGTCCTCACTTTTTAAATGGTGTCTTGAAACCATGGAGACCAAACAAACCATCCATATTAAGACTTGCTCCCCTCTGCCCCTGCAGGGTTGGCTGTAATGGAAGTGTGTGCACAGTCTAGACCCTGACTTTCAGGATTTTGATCAGTAGCAGGAGCAGCAGAGAACTATGAAAGTGGATGCACTCACCACTTGGCACCTTTGGAAGAAGCACTTTCTGGTGCTAGATGGCTAAGTGCCCTTTAGTTCTGAGGAGGAAGGGAAGAGAGCTCCCTCAAGTCTGGCGGAGCTGCTCTTGCATTTGTGTGCAGCGACTGCAGGACCGAGAAGGAGCCAGTGTGAGGCTTTTCTGTTCCTTTACCTCAGCAGTGAGACATCATCTACACAGATGCCCCAAGACCAGGGATGTGAATCTAAAATTTGGTAATAAAATGTAACTATACGTAATTCATATGGGGCCCCGTCGCTTTATCCATGGATGGCACAGGCCTGATGGCAGAGAATCAAGTTCTGACATTTCTGCCAATAACATTTTCACATTTTGTCTTATAGGAGAGAGAATAGAAGGGTTGGAACAGCAAGATAGACCCAGGGTTGTGAATGATACGAAGTGACAAGTGAGAGGAAGAAAGAGGGCTGAAGGCTGTGGCAGAATGGCCTCATTGGTTTGCTGCCAGGCTTGCTATATCCACAGGTGCCTGGGACCAGGGCTTCCTTCCTTGTGCTTGTGATGTTGCAGATTTAGAAACCAGGAATATTCCCGGCGTGGGGGGGGGGGCACTGAGATCCACAGGGCAATGGCAGAGAGAACACAGGCGAAAGGTTCCCATTCGTTTATAGCGCTTTCGTGACGTAGAGGAAAGGGACTTAATTAACTCCTGGAAATGTGGAAATATAAAAAGGATCACAAAGGTTAGATATGTGTGTTTACTTCCTCATTTTTTTGCATTGGCAGCCAATGAGGACACATCTACACTTCAGTGTCCCTGTATCTGGGGACAGACCTGAAATAAAGAAATGAAGCTCACAGGAGTAACCCCCAGAACTACTTTATCCATGACTTGGACTGACCCTTTCAAATTCTGTAACAAGCTCTCTGGAGTTGCATTAGATGTGTTGGGAACATCAATGCTGATGACATTAGGGTGACCTAACCTTTGTCCAGCTCTTCCTCCAAAACGTGCCCTTCTGCAGAGATGGCACTCAGGTGCAGAGGCGGGAGTGAGGCTCTGGGTCTACTTGGACAAGGAGAGGAATAACCTCCCCACTGTGAGGTGAGATTTCAAGTTGTTGTTCCAAATGCAATGCCATTCTATTAATGGACAAGCACATTTACTATTTGAGGGACTCAAAGATTCACCAAAACACTCCTAATCAGAGCATTCTGAGGCAGGCTTGTTTCGGAATGCAAGGGCATGCCATACAGGAGTTTGCAATGTGGGACTACAATGGAAAACAGCTGAAAAAATGCCACGGGTAGATCCAAGGCTATATATGGCGAGATGCGGCCGGGCACCCAGGAATGGCTGGAGTCCACTCGGCTACTGCATAAGACCAGCAGCTCATGTTTTGGGGCAGAGGATAGAGATGTAATGCCTAAGGACGTGAGCATGAATCCCTTCCCCTTCCCTCCAGTCACCAGTGGCAGAGCTTGGAGGAAAGATATGTCCATCGTGCTCTTCTTGGTGATAAGTGGCATCAGTTTCCCAGTTATTAGCCAAAAACAGAGTAAGTGCTACTGTAAAACCCCAGGGCTCCCCATTTTACACAGATGTGGACTTTCCCTGCTGTGCCAACGGGCAGATGGGATGAGCAATGGCTGGCCTTGAGGCCATCGGTAATTTAGAGTTGGTCAAATGCAAGTGATCGCCAAACATCAAGAGCTCGAGAGAGCACTCCCTAAGGAACATCTAACTATCCGGACAAGAACACACTGAATTAATAATCACGTCTGTAAATAACTGTTTATGGTTCCCATGTTGCTAATGGCCAGATAGCACTGCTAGAGAACTTCACCAGGATAATTCCCGATTGGTGTGTCATGGCCTTCTACAATTTAAGTTTTAAATCCTCTGCCTTTCCTGAAGTTACCTTGAACCCACTCAGATGCCAACACAATAGACCCTATCTCTCACTCTAACACAACAGGCATGCTGCCCTCTTTACAAGGCTAATTAACACAAAAACATTCTAATTCAGAAGCTACATAATGATCATTTATACTTTGCTGCACAAATCAACGATTGTCACATGCACAGGACATATTAGTAGACACAGAGTTCTAGATGAACTGTTGATGTGTGGAAAATTAATACACTTACTTGGTAGAAGTAGCTAAAGTAATATGCAGCAGTGGCGGAGATCAATTAGAATACAAATTAGATGTATAAACATTAAAATGAAAGCTTAATTTGTATTTAATTTGATGTCTGGCATGTCTGAGTTCTACACCTTTAAAATGGTAATAGCAAAGAGAAACATCTAAATAGTCATTGATTTATAGGGTGGTCTGAGCAGTGAATACATCCACTAAACCATTTTAAGATCATTTTTATTTATTGTGTGTACACAAGTAATCATGTGTTTGTGTCTGTGTCTCTGTGTGTGTGCACCTGGTTCACTTTACGCACGAACGCCATGTAGCAATGTGGAGGTCAGAGGATGAAGGTGAGGGATTCGGCTCACTCTTTTTACCATGTGGTCCCCAAGGATCAAACTCAGCAAGCGTTTTTACCCCTTACCCCCTGAGCCACCTCCCCGGCCCCAAACACACTCTCTGTTAAAGAAAGACGGTGGAGGCTCAGCAAGTTATAGACCGCGAAAAAAATACAGGAGCCATTTTCTATATCTTCATTTTTTAAACCTTTTTTTTTTCTCTTTTAAACAACAACAAAACCTCATGTACACAGCACAGCAATTGCAAGCCAGGAACACGGCTGTCACTCCGAGATGCAACCTCTCTTACTCTCTGCTCCTTCAGACAGTGTTCACGAGGGGGAAGAAAAGATACACTTTCTTGGGTCACACCAAAACAATTCCATGTTCGTCCTTTCCCCGTTAACATGTCTGAGCACATATACACAACTGTGTATGATTGATGATATAGCTTCAGTGATTGGATCGCAGATCCACATTCTAATATTGAATCATAGTTCTAATGTTGACTTATTTTTTCATTGCTAATTACAGTTGGCGTTGTCTGAGACACAGAAGATTTCCCAAACCATATAGATTTCATGCGCTCCCCACCTTCTCCCCCCTCCCACAAGCCAACAAACAAGAGAATTGTAAGTCAGAAGCTGCTAGCTGGATGCCAAGGGTAGCCACCGTGGACAGCATTCGGAAGGCTTCAGGCACCGCTGTCACCAGTCTTGGCTTTGCAGGCCTCGATCTTCTGCTCGGTGGCCCATTTGTGGTCAGTGGCCAGTCCCAGGAAGCACGTGAAGTCAATGAACCGGGTGGCTGGGTTGAACTTTAAGCCAAGTTCACTCACAGAGTAGTCGAAGGGAAACTCGTGGTGGTAATTGTGGAAGCCTTCATCTGGGAGAGGAAGTGTGTCTGGAAATCACACCATCGCCACCTCCCTGCATGGACGCTGTTAGGGTTTGTTCGTTTGTTTGTTTGTTTAATTCTCTTTTTAAAGGTCAGGATACAAAGCAGTAGGTTTCATGATAGCCTCTTCCTACAGATGTCATTATGTAATTCTCAATTATCCCCCTCCTCGCTTGCTGCCTTCTCTTCTGCCTCCTGCCGTGCTCCAGCTGGTCCCCTCTGTTAGTCCTCTCTCTGCTTTCTTATTGACGGTTCTCTATTTCCTACCCCTTCCTCTTCATCCCTTAAAATCTCCCCTTTTCCAAGGATCCCCTTTCTAGCCCTATGAGTGACATGTCCATAAACACACACGCATCTGTGCATCCATATTATCTTAAATCTAGGTTCCACGTATAAAATAAACTCTGTGACACCTGTCTTTCTAATTTTAGCTTAGCTTGATGTTTGATGCCAGTCATTTCTGTGACCGTCATGAGTTCACTTTGCTTTAGCTGCGTACAGCCTCACGGTGTGTATGTACCACATTTCCTTGCCAGCCTGTTTATGGACATCCGGGCTGGCTCCGTTTCCTGGATGTTGTTAATAGAGCAGCAATAAACACGGAGGCCTTCATAGAGGTTTTATCAGCTTTTCAGATCTACCATGTTTAAAGCTGTTTCAGACTGCATGTTCGGGAAAAAGACTTAGCCCCAGCCCTCAGAAACATTCACTCAGTTGCTAGACAGGCCTAGTTGAGCAGAAAATAACAGCACGGTTGTCCAGCACACACAAGATTAGCTTTGCAGCATGGATGGCGGCAAGATGCTGCCTCCTCAGGGCTGCCCCAAGGTAAATGCTCTGGGGCTCTCAAGAGGTCGCTATTTTGACATAAGTTCATGAAAGGCAAGCAGTCTCTGTGGGAGGGAGTGATTATAAAAAGGACTTCTGTCGAGCCTGGGGGAGAGGGAATGAAACTCTTCAGACAGGAGAGTGAGGTGAAGATGTGGGCCTGTAAGTGTCCAGGCTACTGCACACCATTTCTGTCTCCCATTGAGTTGTCTTCCTCCTGCGCCTGTTGAAGAGGCGTCCTCGAGAGGCCTGAGAGCTCTGCTCGTCTGATTTTCCTGCTTTTCTTCTACTAATTTTTTATATAACAAAAACATATGTATCACATATAAAAGCACATGTTAGAATGTACATATGTTGTAGAATGACTAAACAGCTAATTTGCCTACACATTCACACATACTTAGTTTTTGTGGTAGAAATTTAAAATGTTTGGAGAGGCGCGTTAACATTTATGAGCTGCTTACTGCATGCTGAGCACAGCACCACGGGATAAGTACTAACTCCCATCATCCTCACGCCTTTCTGCTAACTGCTATGATTATCCCCATTTGAAAATGAGGACAGAAAGGCACAGAAGGGACAAGGAACTCACCTAAGACAATAAAGCTGGCAATAAAGGCAGCACTGCAGAAGGCCTATTTCATGCTAAGTACCTCTACAAGCTCAGTGAGTTAACTCACCTCACTCTCCAGTACTCAGGGATGAGGGAAGGGCCTTATTGCACATAAGAACACAGACTGTTGAGGAGCCAGAGAGTGCCCGGAGAGCAGGGGGAGGACCCAGAGCTGGCCTTACTTTTAGCTACTTGTGGTCTCAGAATTTCTCTCCTTTCCTGCCATTGCCCGCTTGAAGACCTTTTCCCCCTGACACAGATGACTGACAAGTCAAGGCTAAGAGTGGTCAAGACTGTTTGAGAGAAAAGAAATTGCTGCTTCTTCCCGTAGGAAAAATTTCATGACAGAAGTAACTATCATACTGTTTATTGATCATCTTCTGTGCTCCAGGTGCTGTCCTGAGCAGTTCCGTATGCTTGACTAGGGAGACATTGACAGATGAAAGCATCAGGAACTGGCCTGGCTTGTCTAAGAGCTGGGATGCCAAGGTCAAAGTTCAACTTTCCCACACTCCTCCACTCTCTTTCCTATGGCCGTAACACCTTCCCTCCCACTAAGCTGTCAATGACAGCTGGACTGCCATTCCCTCACTGGCTCTCAACACCCCACTCACCAACAGCCCCCTAAGTGATGAGTGGGTTCTGCCAAGGGTTGATATGCTTGTGATAGGGCCACTTCCCATACATGTGGGCAGCGCTGTTGACCAGCCAGGTGCCATTGAGGGCGACGGCATATCGGAGAACAGAAAGCCAAGAAGTAGGAATTCCATAGATGCTCTCCCCAGATGTACCAGGGCACCAGTGCAGGGACCATGAAGCGCACGAGCACCACACTGATCTTATAGTACCTGTGAGGAAGAGCATCATGAAATCATCAGACACAAGGCCTACGGGGGTCTGGTGGATGAAAGGGGGATCGTGGCGCGTGAGTCCACATGGTTACAAAAGTGAGGCAAGTAGCACGGTTCTGAGAAATGAGACAGGCAGAGTGCTGTAGGAGATGGCCGTCCTTTCACTACGCTTTGGAAGAAGCTCCACATAAGGCACTCTACACTGTGACGGCCCACCCCGTGCATCTCTGAGGTACTTTGTCTTCTTACCATGAGTCTGAGCTAGCTCCGGGTCACCGCTCCACCTGTCAACCTGCTATCAGGCTTACCTGAAGAATCTCAAGAATCATCCAGTGTTTCTTAAATAATTTTTGGTGCATTATTCTGTATTGACTTAGTCTGGTAAGAAGGTATATGATTTACCGCTAAAGGTGTTCTCTATCGAGCACACAATCAGCACACACACACAAAATATATAAATAAATAAACAAACAAATAAACAACCCAGGTATGGTAGTCTATGAAGTTGTAAGCCCAGTTCTCAGGAGGCTGGGGCAGGAGGATGGAGAGTTCAAGGCTTTCCCTAGACTATAGAACAGGATACAAGCATATAATCACACAAATAGTAACCATTCAACAGTAGGTTATTGAGCTGGATCTGGTGTTATACACCTGTAGTTCCTGCAGGCAGGAGGATGAGGGAAGATGTGAGTTTGAGGCTAGCCTGGGCTACAGAGTAAGACCCTGTCAGGAAAAAAAGAAGACCTTGAGAGGAAAGTGAAAAAAAAAGCACCCGTGTCAGCAGGAAGGAGAGCCATGGGATATTGCTAACAGAAGGCAGTTTGACCTTCATGGGCCTTCCTTTCTCTCTCACTCTATTACAACCCGGGCTTTTCAAAGCTTCCTCTCCTAGGCTTGTTCTGAACCAATATCTTGCCGAGCAGCAGACTAGCATGCCGTGGACCTCTCTTGTTCAGTTCTCACAGCAGATCCAGGATAGGTAGGTGTGCCAGCAGTCAGGACCTCCTGCCGCTGTAGAGAGCTGCCCTGGCCTCCTACTGGCCCCAACCATGTGAAGTGCCATCTAGGTTTGGCTGCAGCCTATAGGATTCACCCTCTACTCAGAGCCCTCTTCTTCCTCCTTCTAAACTGGCCAAGGAGCTAGCTACCTGCCAGCCATGGCTCCTGTATCCAAAGCTCCACTCTGCCCAGGCTGTGAACCCAATGTGTAGAGAGAGGGCCTGCAATATGGCTTCCCAAGCACAAGAGAAAAGCTCAGTGATGGGCTTCATCAACTAGCATGATCGCAGGCAGAAAAAGTTCCCTTTTCCCAAGAAAGAGGTGCAACTTATCAAAATTGAAACAATAAGAACCAACCCAGCAACCAAAGACCAGGTACTTCTCTTCCCAACAAAGTGGCAGAGGGCCCAGCTGCAGAGCTGCTGAGTGTCCTCCCTGTTCTTGTGAGACTTCGGTGTGCACACTGAAAAGGAGGAAAGGAGGAAGGCCGACGGCTATGGCAAGTCCAAGCAGGATGCTCCTGTGCTGGGTTTTTATACTGAAAACTGTTACTCTCCAAGACTGTTTCAAACAGACTCCACAGATCTGTCCCATGTGGCCGAGAGGCCTCCCCATCCCCCCACAGCGCCAGCCTAGAGCAGCTGGTCTGCAGTTAACGACAGGCTTTGGCCTCTGGGCCTCAGGACAAGCCCAGCATGGTGGTGCCTCGCGGACTTCCTCCTTAATGACACCAGTCTGAGTGCCCTTGCCAATGGCCGGCAGGCGATCTCCAGAAGTCCTCCAGCATGGAATCCCTGCTCATTTCACACTCCTTTCTTCAAGCATTGGTAGGGAGGATGGCTGGAGAGGGCCACTGGATTGGCTGGCTTTTTGCTAAATGGATTTTTTTTTTTTTAATGTTATAAAACATCACAGGGCATTTAACTTCTCCATTTGGCTACTTCCTAGCTATGTGGTCCTGGGTAGATTATTTCATTGTGCTGAGCCTCGGCTTTCTCTTCTGAAAGACACTGTACTAACAGCTTTATTAAGTGCCTGCCCTGTGCCAGGTTCTTACCTTAGTACCTAGACTCGGGTGACGTCAACAGATGCAAACAAAGGCGGCCTGTGTGTCTGATATGGTCTGATGGGAAAGGCAGGTGCTAAAGAGTATGGATGAAACACAGAGCACGTTAGTCATAAACACAGGAGAAGCAGTGAAGCAGAGGAGAGTACGATGTTCTGAGGGTGCTGTGAAATCAGGTGTCTACAGACAGTCTATCTTACACTACGGCTTCTCAGTGAATACTTAAAGAAAGTGAGATGCTACCCACTGGCTACATCTGGTGGAGGAAACACCCACACCAAGGTTCTGGAGACTCCGGGGAACTACAGGAGAGGACAGTGGGGACCGGGGAAAGGGTCATATAGGGACTGTTGGCAGTAAGCCAGGTAAGAGAATAGTGGTTTGAACCAGGAGAGCAATGAAAATGGTGCTAGGGAGTCGTTAAATTCTAGGTCTATTTCAAAAGGCAACTGAGAAGATTTTGTTTAGAAAAAGAAAAGGCCTTGATGTTGGAGAGAAGAGATGGAGTCAGGAAGACACCCAAGGTGGACATGTTAGTTGATGTGGCGCAGACGGGAAGAGGAGCTGGCTAGAGCCGGGCATGAGCGCTTAGCCTCAGGCCCAGGAAGTCAGAGGTGCCTTCTGCGTATTTAGCCAGGGATTCCAAGTAGGGGGTGTTGACAGGGTGCCTAGAGTTAGGGGGTGCCCCAGATGGAGGAGGTGACAGGAATAGATGTTTGGAGTATGCCGCGCACACACTTTCCCGTCTGAATTCCACAACAGCCCATGAGGCAGCCCATCACCTCTCCTCTGCAAGTGTGTTGTAGCGGTCCAGAGAGACGACGGGGACTTCTCACAGCCATGCTGGTACAAAGCCAGGCTCGGTGTCTAACTATCAAGAACTTATCACCTCAAGTACAACCTGCCGCTCAGCTAGCCACGGAGGTCACCGGAGCGAGGGTACTTAACTCAGGGACGACCCACTTGGCCTCGCCCTATCAGGTGTTCCTATGTCAGTGAGAATGCTGTTTTCTGACAGCAGACACAAGGCAAACTCTAGCTGGGCTGAGTTTCCTGCTCCTGCACGAACCCCATGCTGTCTGAGTCTGTCAGTTACACCTGCTTGACGTGACTAACTCTTTCAAGCATCAGCCTAGTCTCTCCTCAGGGATTTTCTCAGCCCCCTTGGACAGGGCAAGGCACCCTGCAATGTCCCAGTCCCCCAGGGTTCATACCTGCTGCGTTAACAGGCAGTCTCATGCATAGATCAATGTCTTAGCCCTGACTTCATCCCCTGACTTCATGGAGAATATTTTGACAGGGTGAATATTGGGAACACACTGCAGGCCCACTGAATCAGAACCTCTGGCGAGCATTTCTATTTTTAAGATCTTCCTACATTGTAAATATGGATGCCTATACTGTCTTGCTTGATGAGGTGTACTGATTTTGTTCAGGTATTCATCTGTCCTCCTCATAGCCATGTTTCAGGGAATGTTAATCCTATCCAAGTCAAACCTACTGTGATGAAATCTATCTTATCAATAAATAGCTTGCTAGCATAGTAGTGACTAGCAGGGAATGAGAGAAAGGATAACTTTCTAAAAAAGGAAGTAGCAAATGCAGGAGAAGTCTAGAGAAATTGGAATGCTTGCCCACATACTGATTGGAATACAGGAATGCTGAAAGCAGAAACTGCAAAAAAAAAAAAAAAAAAAAAAAGTGGCATGTTCTCAAAAAGTTAAATTTTAATTGATGACATGGCTCGGTAATTCTACTTCTAGAAGTATAGCCAAAAACCAGAAAGCAGACACCTGAATAGATCTGTGCTTTACCTCTGTTTGTAGCAGTGTTGTCCACAGTAGCCAGCGTGTACGGACAACCCAAGTGTTTGTCAATAGATGAATGCAAGGACGAAAGGTTATCCGTCCATACCGTGAGACGCTCTTCAGGATTTGGGTAGGGGTTATGAGCAGAAAGACGAGAAAGAGGGGTGTGACTGTTGAGTAGACAACAGAGCTTCTGTTGGGAATGATGAAGGGTTGGGTGGTATATGATGATGTGCAGGTTTCTTTCCTGTCGCTGTGATGAATGCCATGACTTAAAAGCAACTTGGGGAGCAAAGGGTTTATTTTATCTTACAGCTTTCACTTTATCATGAAGGGAAGCTGAGGTAGACAGGAACTCAAGGCAGGAATCTGGAGGCAGGAACTGAAGCAGAGACCATGGAAGAACGCTTGCCTGCTGGCTTGCTGCCCATGGCTTGCCTAGCTACTTTTCTTAACAACCAAGGACCACCTACCCAGGGAGGTACTGTCCACATTGGGTTGGGTCTTCCCACTGCAATCAATTAATCAACAGAATGCTCACAGACGCACCTACAAGCCAGTCTGATGGAGGCAGTTTCTCAACTGAGATCTGCTCTTCCCAGCTATGTCTAGGTTTGAATCAAACTGACAAACCCAGCTTGATGGATGGTTATATAGCATTGATACTTTGAATAACAAATGATGAATTCTTAACTTCTCAGAAAAAATAAAATCACAGTAGTGATTTTAGTAAAGCAAATAGATTAAGTATCAAGATTTTATTATTATTTTAAGATACAATAAATGAGCAGTCTGTTCTGGAACTCTTGTGGAAGCTTATCTCTTGGGTTGTCAATTTCGACTGAACACTTAAGCCTCACGAAAGGCACCCTTGCACCCTGCCAGTAACAGGTTTCACTGAGAGATTCCCTATCCCAAGTTAAAAAGAAGCATTTCCGACAATGAACTCCCAGGTTATTCTCCAGTCAGTTAACAATATGTAGGTTTAACCCTCATTCCCACCGGTTTAGTTTTGCTTTGCAAAGTCTGTCTTCCTCAGAACATTTTGGCTCCGAACTAGGAGAAAACTTTTGAGATCACCTTAGCAGAAAAATAACAAGGCCAAGACTACAGAGAAGGTGTTA